AATTCACAAAATATTTCACTTAGATAATATTTCAATATTTCCCCTTTTCCCTTTTAAAAATAGTCCTAACTATAAACTAATTCAATTTTTGCAAAGTTAAGCTAAGTTAAAATTATTTTAGCCAAATAAATTAATTGTCGGATAACCGCATTAGCGGATATTCTAGGTGCTTTAAAAACCTTCCTAGAATATTAATAAGAACCTCGAACCTTTTTTTTAGTTTTCATTAGATTCCTGTTTTAGTCTTTTGAAAACAATAGTTTTCTTGATTTTTCTTAAAAATTAAGTGGCGACTCTTAAACCAGTCCAAAACATATTTCAAATAAAACAAATCTTATAAAAGTATAAGTTTCGTCAAGTAATTTGATTGTGTATTGCAGTACGCTTGAGTATTATCTTTTTTTATAATTTGAAGTGTTTTGATTTGATCATAGATTTTTGAAATACGATTACATTGTATTTTACATTGAAAAAATTAAATTTTTATGAGTAGAAATTGAAATTTGAAAATCAAAAGTGTTTTAAGATTCTTCATTATTAAGTTACCTTATTTTGTCTTTTTTCTTTTGGGTCAATTACTTTTTGGTGACAAATGACAATGTAGCAATAGCTATTTTGAATTTCTAAAAATATGACTTACTACAATCACGGTCACAATAATCTTGGGTAAATTTGATAATTTTATGAAATCTTTATGTTAAATTTTTATTTTTATACAGGTAATCTTTGTAAAGTTATTTTCTTATCAAATGTTCCATTTTCACTCTTTTTTTTTCTTCCCATATATATATATATATATAACCTAGCTAGTCGAGTAGTAGTACATTTAGAGTTTATTTGGATTGATTTATTTCAAGTATGTTAATTTGTAAACATTTTTTAGTATTATTTGAATAAATTAAAAAAATTACTTATATAAGTACTTGATTTTAAAAAGTCAAAATCCAAAATCCAAAATCCAAAATCATAAATTAAAATTTCTAACCTATAAACAGAAAAACCCAATATCTAATTCAAACATATGCTTACACT